AGCGCGAATTCGAGACCGTTTGGTGCCCATCTTGGCCTCGTCCGAAGGACTCGTCCGCCAGCAGCTGATCCCCGTTCTGCAACGCATCCTGCAGTGCGACTTCCCCAGCCGATGGCCACGATTCTTAGAATTCACTCTGGAGCTGTTGAATACCAACAACCCGAACTCGGCGCTGGCTGGCTTGCAGTGCCTTCTCGCCATCTGCCGAGCTTTCAGGTACAAGTCCAACGAGAGCCAGGACAGACAGCACTTCGACAACATTGTTGAAGCAGCATTTCCGCGACTTTTGGCCATTTGCAATGAGTTGGTGAACCAGGAGAGCGACGAGGCCAGCGAGATGCTTCATTTGGCTCTCAAGGCGTACAAGCATGCTACTTGGGTATGAGCGACCTTCCTTCCAACGTCTACCCGTTTCTTTCTCTGCCTTTCCTCCATCGTTTTGTCTACCTTTTCTCCACCATGCTGGAGGGGGTGGAAACGCACCAAGCCCACGATCATGAGCTGACATCACCGCCTTCCTTCCAGCTCGAGCTTTCACCGTACTTGCGACAGGACCAAGTCAACATCGCTTGGTGCACCGTCTTCCTTCAGACCGTTTCCAAGGCTGTCCCTGCCTCCGTCATGATGAGTGAGGTGGCCGACCGCGAAAAGCACCACTGGTGGAAGGCCAAGAAGTGGGCATACTTCAACCTGAATCGTCTCTTCATCAGGTAAAACATGGAACCAGCAGACCTCCCCCTTTTTCTCTACCAGTGTGAGCGCTGGGCTGGTCAAAGGGGGACATGACAGATCATGTGAGCGGCCTCGCTGACAAGCTTTCTTCTAGGCACGGAAACCCCTCAAGCCCCGGCAAGCAAGACGGGGCTCTCCAATTTGCAAAGAACTTCACCACCACCATCGCCCCCGAGATTCTGAAGCACTACCTCCAGGAGATTGAGAAATGGGTGGCCAAGACTTCCTGGCTCAGTCGACCGTGTCTTTCCTACATTCTAGTCTTCCTCGATGAGTCGGTACGGCCCAAGGAGATGTGGGTGCACCTGAAGCCGCACCTGACGAACCTGGTCACGCACTTCGTCTTCCCCGTGCTCTGTCTGTCGCCCGAAGATGTCGAGCAGTTCGAAGAGGAGCCGGAAGAGTACCTTCACCGAAAGCTCAACTATTTCGAGGAGGCGTCCGCTCCGGACGTTGCGGCCACGAACTTTCTGGTTAACCTGACAAAGAATCGCCGAAAGGAGGTCTTTGAGATTCTTAAATTCGTCAATGCCGTCGTCAACGAGTACGAGCAATCTCCCGACGACAAAAAGAATCACATTGCAAAGGAGGGCGCTCTCCGGATGATAGGAACCCTGGCTCCCGTTATTCTCGGCAAGAAGAGCCCCATTGCCGATCAAGTCGAGTACTTCCTCGTCCGCTACGTCTTCCCTGATTTTACCAGCCCCTTGGGATATCTCCGAGCCCGAGCCTGTGACACCATGGAGAAGTTTGAACAGCTCAACTTCCAAGACCAGAACAACCTTCTGACCATCTACCGGAACATTCTTGACTGTATGGCAGACCCGGCACTCCCCGTTCGTGTCACTGCCGCCCTTGCGCTGCAGCCCCTGATCAGGCACGAGGTGATCCGGACAAGCATGCAGCAGAGCATTCCCACCATTATGCAGCAGCTGCTGAAGCTGGCCAATGAGGCTGACATTGATGCCTTGGCCAACGTCATGGAAGACTTTGTTGAGGTTTTCGCTACCGAGCTGACCCCCTTCGCCGTTGCCCTGTGCGAGCAGCTTCGCGATACATACCTTCGCATCGTGCGCGAACTGCTGGAGAAGGAGAGCAAGGCTGGAGACGACGGCGAGCTGTACAGCGACTACGACGACAAGAGCATAACCGCGCTTGGTGTTTTGCAGACTATCGGAACGCTCATCCTTACGCTGGAGAGCACTCCGGACGTTCTTCTCCACATCGAAGCGGTACTCATGCCAGTGATTAGCATTACGCTGGAGAACAAGCTCTACGATTTGTACAATGAGGCCTTTGAGATCATTGACAGCTGCACCTTCGCTGCCAAGGGCATCTCCCCCAACATGTGGCAGGCATTCGAGCTGATCCATACCACCTTTAAGGCAGGGGCTGAGTATTACCTCGAAGACATGCTACCCGCGCTGGACAACTTTGTCCAGTACGGCGCGCCGGCTTTGGTTCAGAAACCGGAATACGTCCAAGCCCTTTATTCGATGGTGGCGGATATGTTCTCTGACAATGTCGAGGGCGGCGTTGAGCGGATCTGTGCCTGCAAGTTGGCCGAGGCCATGATGCTGAGCCTGCGGGGCAGCATCGACAGCTGCGTCGAAGGCTTCATCAACATGGCCATGAATATTCTGGCCGGACAGGATGTGAAGGTCAAGAGCTACAAGATTCATCTCATGGAAATGGTCATCAACGCCGTGCACTACAACCCTCTGCTCACCCTGCAGGTACTTGAGACCAACGGCTGGACAAACAGGTTCTTCAGCCTCTGGTTCGGCAGCATGTCCTCGTTCACCAGAGTGCACGACAAGAAGTTGTGCATTGTGGCCATCTCCGCCCTGCTCAGCCTCAACCACGACCAGGTTCCCGCCAGCATCTCAGTTGGATGGCCGCGGCTGCTTCAGGGCATCACGGAACTCTTCCGAACACTGCCTAGTGCCATGCGGAGTAGGGCTCCCCCTTTCCCCTTTCCTGATGTGCAATATATACCCTCGGATGCTAACAGCTTGTCAAACCAGACCGAGAGGATGCCCTTCGCGACGACTTCACTCTGGACGCCGGCTATGATTACGTAGACGAAGACGAGTGGGACGAGAGAGACGTCGCCTGGAACGACGACGAGGATCCCGGCTCCGCTGGCGACGAGGAGGCACCTGAGACCAAGGACGAAAGCGCCGCCTATCTCGAGTTCCTCAACGAGGAGGTGAGTTTACAAAAAGGACGCTATTAATTGTTACTCCTGGCATTGGCTAACGGTGCGCACTGTTCCAGGCCCAAAAGTTCAGTCGCGTGATCGATGACGATGAGGAAGAGGAGCTTGGAGAAGACAGTGTGCTTCTGGAGTCGCCGCTCGACAAGATCGAGCCGTACCAGCTCTTCAGGGCAACGCTGCTAAGTGAGTAAATTTCTGCGAGCATAAGTGCACCTTGTTTTGCTGCTAACCAATGGAACCTCATTTCCAGAGCTGCAACAAGAACAACCCCAGTTCTACTCCAATCTTGCCGGTCACCTCTCCGCCGAGGAGCAAGCCCTTATCCAGGACATTATTGTCAAGGCTGAGGAAGTTGCCCAAGCACAGGCCCAAGCTCAACAGTCCGAAATGGTTTCCCCTCACGGCACTGCCAGTGGCTAAACGCATTGTGCTCACCGATTCCAAGCGAACGCCTTGCGCCCTGAGATGGGAATTGGATGAAAGGACGTCTTGTACGACTGCTGTTGTGCCGAGGCTAGTACAATTGCCACACAGGGCCTCTTGATGCACGAGCTTTCCCATTAATGAGAAGATGAACTTGATGATATCCCCCCCTTTGTCAGGAATTTGCGAACGGGAGCGAAGGCGAGGAGGAAAACCAGGAAGAGGAAAAAGGAAAACACTGAAAGAAAAAGAAAGAGAGGAAAAACAAAGGACAAGAAGGCAAAAAGATCAAGACAGCGAGGGTGATGGAGGAGCTGCAGACTCGATTGAAGCAAAAAAGGGCTCTTAGACGGTGGTACCGCGGCTGATGCTGAAGATGGCTGATGATGAGCAGCGGTCCGGAAAAGCAGAACCAAGGCTTGGTTCCACAGGGTAAGTATTGCAGAAGGAAGGCAATCATGGCTGCTGAACCGCGAGCGGCAGCGCAAGAGGAAAGTTATTGGATGGGAAATTCATGTTCAGTTTTTTTTTTTTTTTTTCTTTTTTTTTCTCCCTGTGACTCATGAACAGGCTGGTGAAGTTTGCGGCCCCAGAGGAAGAGCACAGAGGCGTTGACAAATTGGTGTTGATGTGCGGCTGAAGCGGTATACAGAATATACCAAGGTATTCTGTAAGGTAAGGTAGCAGGTAGTAGTAGGTAGGTAGTAGTAGGTAGCTCCCTCGACATGCTGGTCCTGGTAACCATTAGGCTAGTGCAAACGCATATATACACTCTTACACAGGGCGTTAATGGATTCGTCCTTGCGTGGGCTCTCTGGCACAAGCTGTGTACAGATGGAGCGACACTCTCCATGTCGAGTCGATGAGTCTGGGCATCACCACCAAACAGTCGTGGTGTTTTTGTCGTCTGGTGTGTACGTGTATTACAGTAACCGTCAGGTCGGGCGTCTTATCGTCCAGGTAGATATGGATTAGGTAAGGTATTACTGGCAGCTGATAAGCCACATCGACCAACAACTCAGAGTGACAAAGTGACCGTCGACTTGCTTTCGGCGGGCTCCGACCGCAGTAGCCACTCTTCACCGTAATAACAAGGTACCCAAGGCTGCTCCAGAACCCCTCTCCCGCTTCTTCGGACAGGCCCCAGCAGTCCATTGTACCTGGACGGAGAGCCTGGAGAGAATCTATTGCAGAACAAGGCGTCGAAGCTGCTTCTAATTGGCACAAGGGAGACTTCTGAGCCCCTCTCAGCGGCCAGTTTAGGCTTAGGAGGCGGGCACATGCTCTTGATCGATTCCATTCCATTACCTAAGGCACAGCATCGAACCTTAATAGGTACCGTAGGTACCCAACTACCTACCTGCCTTACCTACCGTATCGGATACAGTATATTTACGACAACCAGCAACACCTCGACTTGGTGACACCTTACCACCTGTCTCCCTTCCGTTTCTCATCTTCTGTGCTTTGCAACCTTCTCCCCCGCCTCACTTCCTCATCGTGTCCCCTCTCTCTCCCTCTGCTTCCCCCCCTTGCCGTCTCTTGAACAAACCTCCTCAGACACCTGCTGGAGCTCAATTGGCCCATCAAAGACGACGTTTCTTGCCTGCTAAAAGGCCCAACCATGACGACTCGGTACCGCGTTGAGTGTAAGTCTGCCTGTCTGCCCAACGGCTCCAACCCCCTCCTTTATGTTGGTTTCGCCACACGGAGGTGGAAGGGAACGCATGTCTGGAGAAAGAAGTACACTGAAGCTGACAGAAGCCCCCAAGATGCCCTCAAGACCCATAGACGGGATCAGTTCATCGGTACGTCGCTTTCCCAGTGGGCATCACCTTGGCCGCGAGGCATCAACCTCTCGCAGTCGGAGTGGTGGCGGTCTATGCCACTATAGCAGGCTCGTGATAGATGCCCGAGCTCACAGCAGCTGTTGTGATTTCTGAGCTAACTCAACGCCTTGGTGCCTCTTGCCAGAATGGATCAAGGGTCTCTTGGCTGTCCCGTTTGTGCTCTATTCCCAGCCGACAGGAGTCTTTGGCGATGACAGCAACGTGGCAAAGATGGCCGAGGAGGCCCATAGGCGCTACGCAGAGATTATGCGAGACGTTGAGCTGATGATTGACGACCACAGTAAGGCGACGACTTCTCTCTTCTGTTCTGGCGTTCTTGGCGATGTTCCGTATGCCGGGAGGGTGCTAACAAACCAAACAGTCGCCCGCCAACATCGTGATCGCGCGCTCCCGTCCAAGCTCGGGATGCTGGTGCCCACAGCAGGCCCATTCTTTACGCGACTTCCCCTAGAGGCCGCCTTCAAGTACCAGGACCGGAAGCGCTACATGTCATCGAGACGATATGTAGCCCCTTCGTTCAACGATGTGCGCCTGGTGCTCAACTCGGCCCAGATCATGGCTGTGACGAACGGCACTCTTCAGCTGGCCACCTTTGATGGTGATGTCACCCTATATGATGATGGGCAGAGCTTGGAGCCATCAAGCCCCGTCATCCCGCGACTTCTAGGTACGCACTGCCTCTTCTGATTATGCGCTCTGCTCTTCATCGGCTTGCTCTCTTCCTCCACCCCTTTTGTTTTGCCTTGGGTTTCATGACATCAACTGTAGAGGGGAGGGAGGGTAATGCGAACCGCTGTCAGTACTGATGCTCATCCCCATCATAGACCTCCTGCGCAAAAACATCAAAATCGGCATCGTGACGGCTGCTGGCTATACAACCGCGGATCGGTATTATCAACGTCTTCATGGCTTGCTCGACGCCATTGCCGAATCCACTGAGCTTGATCCCGTGCAAAAGCAGAACATTGTCATCATGGGCGGCGAGGCCAACTATCTCTTTGAATACGAACCGTCTTCGCCCTACCGTCTGGCGCCTGTCCCTCGTCAAGCGTGGCTTACCCCGGAGATGGCAGCCTGGTCCGAGGCGGAAATCGCGGCGCTGCTGGACGTGGCCGAATCAGCGCTCCGAGACTGTATCCGCACAATGAACCTTCCCGCCATCATAGTGCGAAAAGATCGCGCTGTGGGAATCGTTCCCAATCCTCCCGAGGTGCGCATCGCGCGAGAGAGTCTGGAAGAGACGGTTTTGGTGGTCCAGCGTATCCTGGAGCTGAGTGCACTTGGCACGCCTTCGCAGCAGGCCGGCCAGGGCGCCCAGGGCCGCCACGGGGTCCCATTCTGCGCATTCAACGGCGGCCGCGATGTCTTTGTCGACATTGGCGACAAGAGCTGGGGCGTGACGGTCTGCCAGCAGTGGTTCGGAAGACGCAGCGGAGGAGCGACCGGGGCCGATGCAGCGCTGACGGCGATCAGGGGCGAGAACACGCTGCACGTGGGAGATCAGTTCCTGAGCGCGGGATCCAACGACTTCAAGGCGCGGAGCGTGGGAACCACGGCCTGGATCGCAAGCCCGGCAGAGACGGTGGAGCTGCTGGACGAGTTGGCGGATCTGATGCAGAAGAAGCTTTCATGAGAACCGCAACCGTGCAGGGACAGCATGGGAAGTGGGAAGGGGTCATCTGTTTGAGCGAATTGCGGCCTGACTCTATTTATGAAGCGTGACTGTTTGGATTTGGAATTTTGAAGGCTCTTCTGCTTCTTCTAACGGAGAAAATGCCATCTTGTTTGTCGTTAATGTCGAGTGCCTAGATAGGTAGATCAAACATGTCTAGATTCCCGTTGTAGCTAATACTTTGCTACGTTTTCATATCACTCATACTGACTGAGCTGTCTCGAGCATTTGCTAGCGAAAGCTCACTGCAACATCGGCGGAAATCACCATGCTGGTTGTTTATCGCCGTTCACCGTGAAGAGATCCAGAAGACGAGATGGATTCGACTGCAGATCTCTACCAGCAACGGCAAGATGGTCACCACTAGCTTGTCTCTTATTACTCGCAGGCGAGTCCATGGGCTCAAGCAACCAACTCACCTGACAGGACCACCGACACACGAGCTACTGTACAGTATACTAGTAGCATATTCCCACCGCAAGCTCAACTGACGAGATATTAAGACAGTCCCAGTCGACCCTCGGCCCCCTGGAACTCCCCGTCTCCACATACAAACATTTTCTTCCTCTCATGCCTCTTCCCGGCAGTCCGGCCTTGTGGATCAGGTTCGTCATTGCCGCAGAGATGAGGCGAGGATTTCGAGCACAGAGCTGGTCGTCGATCGACGGTGGGGATACGAGGCCGAGGCACACGAGTCGTAACGTGAACTATGTACCTTAGCCTACCGAACTCGCGGGCCAGGACATGTCCAACAAGTCCCCTTTGCGGCCCTTTTCTTTCTGTCTGCTCGATAGTCTATCAGGTACCTGCGTTATCCTTCTGGGATTTGTGAATGTGATCGCTATTGATCCTGCTTGACTACCTCTTCACTTGCTTGCCTCAGTTTGTGCCCTATCCTGAGCTCAGCATGCAGAATTGCTCATCATCTACATGTACCTAGTAGGTAAGGTAGGTACTGTACAGTAGCAGCTGCAGCACTCGAGGAAGCTGGTCCAGAGAGGCTTCAGTGCTTGGCAAGAGAGACTTTTGTTCCTTCCTTCCTTTCTTTCTCTGGGCACACGAATACTGTAGGTAGTGAGGTACCTTGACCTTGATGTCCATGGCAGATCACGTGTCTCAAGCTTTGGCGAGGAGCAAGAAAGAAGAAGCCAGAACCCATCCATCGCCACAACACTCAAACAACCCTGAGAGCAGAAACGCCCCCTCCCCTGCTAGTATCATCGTTCTGTCCAGAAACCCATCTCCGTGCCATGGGGCTCTCGGTCTCTCTGTCTGTTTCTCTGTCTGTTTCTCTCTCTACGTATCTCCAACCCCTTGTCGCGCAGCTCAACTGACGAGCCCAGCATCTTCCCTGCTCGCCACGCCAATGGCCACAAGGGGGTTTCTGCCGATGCCAATTCCACCAAGCCCAGCTAATGCTTAGTGCATGGCTGCCATGCATCTCCAACAGACAAGTGTCGACGTCTCCCGGGCCTCTGCACGAGCTTCACCGTACTCGCCCCGGGCCTTTGTGGGCCGAACCAGACGGACTTCACGGCTCGGGCTTGACACATGGCGCTTGCGGGTGGGGGAGGCGTAATAAAATCGGGCATGGCGCAAATGGGCGTCAGCTGGGAAGAGGCCCGACGGCGGCTCTAAATCGGTGGACTGCCGAGCCATGCTCATCATGGTGGGCTTCTTCCGCCGTTCGAGGTGGCGGACAGCTTTTTGCGTCTGCCGTCGGGCGGCTGGAATGGAATCCAGTTGCTTTATAGACTCGACGGGCGACGGCTCCTCAGGGGTTGGTCAGTCTTCACCTCCTTCTCTTCGCCATTTCCTTCCACGCAGTCCCCCGGTTGAATGATACCTTACACACTCGGGCTCCGCGATTCGGGGAGGATTGCGTGAACGGCGTTCGAGAACTCTCTTGGTCACGCTTCTGCTCCAGAAGCAGTCAATCGCTCTGGGTCAATGAGCATGGCTCAAGGGTAATACATGCTCTTCGAATCGGCCGTTGTCTGCTGCTCTCCCAGTCGCAGCCAAGCGAACCACTTCCCCCGAGAGTCAACTCCTCTCCGTCGACCCCGAACGCCTTTCGAAAGCTACCGACACAATCGTGTATGCTTACCATGTCCGCACTTCCTCCGCCTCCCGCAGGGATCAATCTCCACGATGACAAGAGGGCATCCATCATGGCGGCCTCTATTGTCACCTGGGCCCTAGCTGTTATCGCCGTTAGCCTACGCATTGTAAGCCGCCGCATGAGGAAGATGAGGCTCTGGATAGACGACTGGCTCATTATTGCGGCCTTGGTACATACTTTCCCGTCCCTGACTATACGGAGAGCTTGCTAATGGTTGGGTCGGCAGATCCCTTCTTGTGCGCATGTTTTCGGGATAGGTGTATACGGTTTGTGAACCCCTCGAGTCGACCTCCGCCTCGATGCTTGCTCTTCAGGATGGAACTAAATGTTTTCCTCCACCAGCCGTGAGCCGTGGCTTAGGCAGACATGTTTGGGCCGGCCCGCCAGACGCACGATACGCATGGGCAATTGGACTGTTTATTGCCGAGCTGGGATACTTTGTCACCATTACATGTGTCAAATTCTCCATCCTCGCCTTCTACTGGCGGGCATTCAGAGTCATGCGCTCTGTCCTGATCCCAATCTACACCCTAGCCCTGATTGTTGCGTGCTGGGCTATTGCTGTTGTAAGTCTCCCGTCCTGGAAAGAAGGCAGAGAGACCTTCACACCCGTGCTGACGAGCGCTCCAGATCCTCGTCACCATCTTCCAATGCCGACCAACCAGTGCCTGGTGGAATCGCTTCAATCCGTCGCATCCTTTACAGCCAGATCAATACGACTGCACCGTGGACTCGGTCAAGTTCTTTTACGGAAATGCGATCCCGACCATTGTCACTGATGTTCTGATGCTCGCATTACCTCTGCCATATATCGCACAACTGCAGCTTCCCAGGGGGCAAAAATGGGGTCTTGCTGGAATTTTCCTCGTCGGCATCTTGTAAGTTGTTCGGCACCTCGTAATCGCATGTCCAGCAGGATCTCTAATCAACGCGCAGCGTCACCGTCATCTCTATTGTGCGTTTCCACTATTTAATCGAGGGTAATCTGACCAGCCCAGACATTACATGGAACTTTGTCAACATTGCCCTCTGGTCCGTCCTTGAAGGCAACCTGGCCATCTTCTGCGGTACGTGTACACTTCAAATACAAACAACCCTCAGATGCCAGTTCAAACTAGCCAATGAACCGTGTGGCTGATGGTTTCCTGTCCCTGTAGCCTGTCTTCCCTTCTTGCGGCCGTTGATCATCAAGCTTGGCTGCCGCAACCTCAGCCTTTCGACTGCCACTTCCAAGAAGCAGAAGCAGTCAAGCAGCACTCCGAGAATGAGCCTTCATCCGAATGACCATCCCCGGACTTGGCAAGGTGACGGCCGATTTGGCACCTCAACCTGTCATTCCCGAGCATACAGCACTACGCGCGAGACGGACGGGCACCCGTTTGTTCGTCTTACAGACAATGGCTCGGAAGCCAGCGTGCCTGTCAAGGAGAGGCCGGATGAGCCCCAAATCGAACTCGGCAATCTCCCTGCAGGGGGGCAGCTTGGCGAATCCAACGGCATAGTCATTACGCGGGAATTCCATCTACAGCACCAAGACGTATGATATCAGAGACCAACGGACTAGACATCGACTTCATCACATGTACCCTTACACGATCCATCTACTCATATTTACCACTTACTCACGAGATCAGGGACGCTTCAACCTACATCTACCATTATGGATATGGCGTCCGGAACCACCTCCTAGCTAAGGGTACGTCGGGGATCCGGCCTCGCCGTTTCTGTTCGACATACCGGGTCGTCTTGGCTAAAGAGAAGCCAAGAGAAATTGGTGATGATGTCTCGGGAGGGAAACCCAATTCGCGGATTGTGGGCGACAGGCCAGCCTCGTGATGCTGAGACACGAGGCAATAGCCGTATTGGCAGACAATCGGCAAGACATGGCCCTCGGGCTTGGCAGTCGCCGGGACTGAGGATCCTCGCTCCCGAGCAAAGCTGGAGTTGTCGAATCGCCCGAAGTCGCCTGTTCATGGATGGCTTCTGGATGGCTTCTGGCTGGCTTCTCTTGGCTCCTCGAGGGGGGCATCTCGTCGACGCCCTGCAGAGAAACTTCTTATGCACCTACAAGAAGAGGCACAATAACACGGATTCCGGGGATCTGAACCCCAGGGGTAGTCACCGGGAACGGGTCATTGGCGCTATCATTTGAGCCCACAACTCCGTCAAGCGCTGTTCGGCGGATTATCGAATCTCGTCCACAAAAGACGAAATCTGAGCCCAAGTGAAATTTGTCAATACTGGCCGTCAACGCTTCGTCAGTCATGACTGTGATGACTCCAATTCCTGTTGAGCGCTCTTTTCGCGTGCGCTAGACGTTGTGCACATGTTCGAGCCATGTCCATGGGCTTGATGTTGCAAAAACGCATGATGAATACGACCCTTTGCAGCTTACTTTCAACGCCTGCGCCCTAGATATGTGCCATCAGGTTCGGCGACCGGTGGTTTCTCCAGACATGGGCATCATCATGTTGCGGTTTCCGACTTGACGATCATGTCAGTCCAGGTTGCCCATGGACTGAATGAGGTAGTTGGGCTACTTGCTCAGCCATGATTCATGTTAAAGGTTGCACTTTTAATGCTGAACAGATATAGCAAAGCGGCGACTTTGTTGGAGAGCACAATAAATAGAACAATAGAAACAAATCTTCTCACCATTTACAAGCGTTTTCCTTTAGTAACGCGCATCCGTTGCTCTCGTTGATCTCGTAACATAGGACTTTGGCAGACTCAACAACATGCAGGGTGTGAGGCGAGAGCGAAGAGATGCAGCGTATGTACAGAGGAGTTCCAGACGGCCATTTGCCACAACGGCGGAATGTCATTCATCACCCTGTCTCATCCGTCTTGGCACCATGGCATATCAGATGACACTTGATCGAAGCGAAAGAGACCTATTACTTGTCGCAATCACTGGGCAAGAAGGACTCTTCAGCCCTTCGCAATCTCAAGGAAGATTGCTGTGGTCTTGTTGGCAAGAGCCCTAAGCCGTGGAGAAGCCCATCGGGACAATCCATCACGGCGTACTCAAGTTGAAGCCACGAGGGCAGTTAACAACTCCAGTCTTGTGTGTTTGTGTCCGGCCAGTCGAGGAAGATGCTCCCGGTTGTCCTCAGAGCCAGCAGTGTGGCTGCCTGATACTGACACCTTGTCAGCCTGCATGGATCTGCCGCGTCACTTTGCCCGGACACCAAAGGTCGCGTTTCGTCCCACAATTGATATTCCACCAAAGCTCGTTTCAGGGCAGTGTTCGACCCCTTTACGTGCCGCGCAGATATGTAGGTAGCCGACTGATCAAGCAGCCCAGGTAGCACGAGAGGATTCTTGTCCGTCTGTTTGCTCTCCCCAGTGTGGGTTTACCCAAGTTGACGTGATGCCTCAGGGAAGCATGTACTGTCCCAAAGAGACGAAGCCTGCTCTCAGCGAGCCAATGATCGAAACTCAACAAACCACAATGCCAGATATCTCCTCCGGTAGGGGAGTAACGTTGTGTCCAGCCAACGAGGCGATGCCAGCTCTTCCACCACGACGAGCAAAGAATCGTGAGTAGCTTCTGACGAATAACAAAAAACCACTGACAAAACTCATCACTTGTCAATATGAAAGAACAGGAGTCACCGTTGAAGATAATTACACTTGAAAGCCAACCAAGCTGCCAGAACAAGAATCCAAGAACTACGATATAACACCAGTCCAGGGTTCTCATTCCCTGCCGCTAAGCAGGTGCGCGGCCTAACCGCTCATACAGCGAGCGAGCAAGCCAGACGGGTTCATTCCGCGTCTGGTCGTTCATAGCCTGGCTTGCCCGAAGCCTGGTGTGCACAAGCTGCATCGCCGACGAAAGAGCGACGAGATACGGTGTATTCCGTCACTTGATTGTGCGATATAAGTGTCGGCGGCACGGGAGAGGTAGACTCGTCATCACGTAGTACACCGTTGTGGAATGCTTGTCCAGACACACCACCACTTGACGCACGGCTTCGGGGCGAAGTACGACGCGCCAAGATATTCCTTGGCCCTTTGGGCGAGACATATGTGCGGCATATCTCAACGCTCCTCACAAGCGCTTGGATGGGAGCAAATCATATCTTGGTCCGTTTGGCAAGTCGCAGACCCAGCATCTTGGCACACGCCAATCTCCGTAAATCGATCGACGAAGCACCAAAGGATCAACTGGTCTCCCATAGCACCTTTGCGGAATTAGAAGATGTGCGGTCCGGAGCTTTCTAGAAAGAAAGATGGGATGAAGGAACGTGCAGCCGGTGTGGTTATACTTGTACCAGCGAGAACCGAGGATGCGTCGTGGTCTTCCGCCGCAAATCCGACCTCTCAAGCATAATATTGTAAGATTGACATTTGGCGATGAGATATCTGAGATATCCGGACAGTGCTAGTTCGTGCGTAGGGGAGCTATTCCCAGGACCATGTTCGGCCTGCACAAGCATACGTGTGATGTAGGCTCGGCTGTGTGATTCCCGCAGTACGCAGCTGTCAATCCGTCCATCATCTTCGCATTGCTCTGGTTAGGTCGTTCTGACCTCTTTTTCTCTTGTCTGAGGATCTGAGACATAGTCACACTGCAGCACTGCCTGTCCCCTTCATCACAAGCAAACAAACATGAACGAAAGCCGGCTGAGCTGAAGCGGCCTGCTTGGGCAACAAGGAGGAGAAGGCATCGGAGGGAAAATGGCCATCAACAGTGCATTTGAGAAGGCCTTGTTCCCCGAGCACAGCACATCTCAAACTTGTGGCACCTCTCTGCTGTTTGACGGGGTGTGACGACTGTAGCCGATCGAGCAGTCCAGAAGGGCAATGCGTCTTCAATGAGACACAAACATGCATCTCCTCTCATCGGCGTGGTCCCTGACTTGGACCAGAGGAAAGTTTGTCTCGGACTTCATCCCTGATTTCTTGGCCGTGGCCTTGGCGATGCTGCCTGCCGGTGGCCAATGTGACGCTTGGGAAATGAGGCTTGAATCTGATTTCAGAGTTTAGTTTGGCGAGGAAAGGGAATCGCCCGTGTGCGGACAGCGGTGACGGAGCTTCCAGTGAAAGGGATTGGTATACAAGCAGCATGAGACAGTATGACCCTGTTGGAGTCTGGAGCCCGGCTGTCTGACACCGACGCCATTGCCAATAGGATGTTCTGAGGCGACCCGGGGATCAAACGTCGCACTGACGCGAATAGTGTGGTGCGGCAATTTAAGCATATTTTTTGAGTTCTGCTGATGGGAATCGTAGGTAGGTAGCTGTAGCAGCACCGGTCCAATGCTGTTTCATGCTGCAGGAGTCTGGAAGGCTTGCGATGCTCATATCGGTCGTCTTGATTGGCTTCTTCCTTGTTCCCCAGCAGCCCAGATTGGCAGTGCCAGGAGCTGGCGAATCATGAGGAATGGCAAAGAGCTCAACAACACCAATGTCCTGCTGTTACTAGAAGAGGCGAATAGTCGTCTTGAGATGAGGGACCAACCAGGCGTTCAAGCCACGAGTCTCCTCAGAGTCAGATTCTGCCATAATATGGGGAAGCACTCTGAAGCATGGTCGCCGATGAGATGCGCAAAGGCAAACGTGAGGGAACCGAAGAAGTTGTGCCGGCATTTTCAGCAAGCAGGGACAGCCTGTGATCAGAGCAGGGAGAAGCAATATGTAGAATGAGACGTCGGAAAGGAAGCGTATGATAGGAGGTTGCTGCTTCTGTCAGTGATCCGACACATGTATGATCATACACAATCCGAGATGTGTCACGACTTTTCGGTCCTTGTGCCAAATGGCTCAAGATCCTGGAGTACATTGAAGAGGCCAACTGGAGGCCAACATTGGCGACTTTTTCTTCCCTTTTGGAGATTCCTCTTTGAGGATTCCTTTTGCGAGAGCCCTTTTGGAGATTCCTCTTTGGGGATTCCTCTATGGATCGTCCGTTACGTCGGCGTTTTATGCCATTGTTGACCCGTTACCGGCGCTGCATAGCGACACCTGGCCAGCCCGAGCTTTGCTCACGGCACGTAGCACGAAGTAGCGTCATACAAGTATCTCAGGCTCATTCAGACCTCGATATGGCTCCGCTTGAGGCAATAATAATACCTCCCTGTTCCGAGTGAGATAGTGAGCGTGCGAGCTT